AGCTTAGCTTTGGGCACAGGGTATATGCTCGTCGAGCATTGCCGACTAGAGCACTCATGGTTTTTTTCTTCGGCCGGATAAGATCGGATGACGATCACACGGAGCTCAGACGCAATCTGGTTGCTGTTGATATGCGTATGCGAATTCATAATGATTTCATTGATCTGTCATTCAGGAGCTTCCAGCATGACGGCAAAGCTCTTTAATATGCATATGTCTCTGTCTGTGTGTGCGTGAGTGAGTGTGTGTGTTGCATATATGTGCGCCTGTGTGTGTGTGTGTGTGTCACTGATAACGCTTCCCGCCTCAAGCTCATTAGAGCAGCTCGCTTCAAAGGCCAATCTCTGTGGAGATACACCTTCCAGCAGCAGACACTGAGGAGCGTCCGAAGCTCAAATAGCGGTAATTGTGTTGGAAGCGCATGCATCGGTATCAACTGAGGCATGCCACGCAAGATGCTATCAAACTAATGCGTATAACTTGTCGGAAATGATCAAAAGTTGAATGATAACCGACTCGATAACGGATATGCAGCTACATATCCAGAAAAGATACAATATCTAAGCTAATTGCACGGTTTCACATAAGATGCTGCCAATTTGTATTAAAGATACAAGCAGCTACAGAAAGTTGATTGATTATGTTAAATTGATTATGTTATGTAATGTTATGTTAAGTTATGTAATGTTATGTTATGCCATATTGTGTTAGGATATGTTTTTTTTATGCTACGTTATGTTATGTTGTGTTATGCTATGTTATGGTATGGTATGCTATGCTATGTTATGTTACATTATGTTAAGCTATGTTAAATAAGCATTTGATTTTGATAATGTACACTTCCGAAAACTTACCCTGTGCTTAGTCCTGCATTTTGGCGAGCTTCCTCACATCTCCACGCTTCTTAAGCTTTTGAACTTCCGATTCCAAAATTCTCATCTAATATTTCGACTTAAGATCGTTCCAATAGATTTGCAATAGGATTAAGGTCGAACAGTCCATAATACACACATATATATGCGCATTTGTTGAGATATACTTGAGATTTATTTATTTTCTAAATATTCCAATTGTTTATATTTATATTCACGAATCTGGAGCTGAACTTATCTGTGTTTACTGCTCCAATTGGGCATTATTTACGGTTAGTATCTCAGCTTTTGGATGCCGAATTTCAAAAGCTCTCAATTTACACACACACACACACACACATGCAAATAAAGAAGCGCATTTGCAGTTATTCGAACTGGCCCGTTCAATCCATTTACCATGGGAAGGCACTTGGCAACCGTTGCAGCAGCTCACTTTGTGCGTCTCTTATCAACTTCATTCATTAGAGCTGTCAGTGCGTGCATGTGTGTGTGTGTGTGTGTGTGTGTGTGTGTGTGTGTGTGTGTGTGTGTGTGTGTGTGTGTGTGCTGCGGCTATTGAGAGAGCAGCAGGCGAGCCAATACAGTTACTCAAATGGCAATACTTGCATGCCATCTACTCGCTTCGTTAAATATAGCACACTTCAATAAAAAAAATGCAGTGCCAACGTTTCAGTTCGGTTTCCATTCATCAATATAAGAAAGCGACCCAAACTGTGTCAATCAGCGACAGCGACAGCGACAGAGATAGGAGGCAGCGACAATGGCAGCGGCAGCGGCAGCGGCAGAGGCAGAGGCGAGGACAGCGTTGAGGCAAAGACCAGTTTGAAGCGAATTGGCAGGTCTCGTGCGCTTATCAGACCCGTTCGCCATCTCAGTTTGTTTGTTGGGTGTGTAGTGTGCCGCAAAGTCGCCGCTGATTACAGTTAAATTTTGTTTTAATTTTTTTTTCTGCTCATTTTTTTTTGCATAGGCAAAGGTGACCCGGCGAACTGTGGGGCTATCAGCGGCGACAAACATGCACGCACACAAACACACCAGCGCACACACACACACACACACACACAGACACTCGCTCAAGTGAAGAGCGTTTGAAATTTGCGTTGGGTTGGTTTGACTGACCGCGCGAATTATGATTGAATAATGTGCCCACAACGAGGGTCGCAGCCGTAGTCGCTTGCCAGTCAATTATGCAAAACGGTTACTGCACTTTGCATTAATTAACAACAAGAACAGAAACAGCAACAACAACAGCAACAAATGGGAATAACTAATAGACACAAGCTCTTTGCTCCGCTGTCATACAATTTGCACGTGTCCAACACGTCGTGTCGTGCTTATGCCTAAGCTCAGCTTGCAAGGCAAACAGCTGTTCCGAGAGAGAGAGAGGCAGAGAGAGTAAGAGAGCGCAAGGCAAGAAATTGCTGTTGTTGTTGTTATTATTGTTGCTGCTGCTGTCATTGTATTGTATGCAGCCTCCCTTCCAGTGTGAGTGAAATATTTTGCAGTTAAATTTAAATTGAATGTGTGCGTGTGTGTGTGTGTGTGCACGCTTGTGTGCGTGTGTGCTTATGTTTGTGCGCGCTTGCAACATTTTCAGTAATTTAAAAATAAGTGCGCCGACGAACAGCGGCCCCAAATAGCATCCGCGAAATGCAGCAGCGGCAGCGGCAGCGACGTTTGCCACTGGATTGGCCCATCCATGCCATGTGATGCGTGTGCAGCATAATCGAGTGAGAGAGAGATGGCCAGGGGCTGCGGCAGCGGCAGCGGCTGCGGCTGGAGCAGCAGGCGGGTCTCCGGTCGGTCCGTGTGCGCGAGATAAACAAACTGCCAGTTCACTATCAATCAAATACCGGAAACAGCTGCTTTAGTTTTATTTTGCCATAGCCATTTGGCACAGCAACACACACACACACACGCACACACATACACATAGGCAGACAGACAGCAGCGATTTAGGCGACGGCTGCATCGTCGACGTCGACGTCGACGTCGTCGTCCACGTCATCGTTAATTTCAACGCACGCACACACACACACGCACGCACGCACATGCATACACACACACATATATAGTTGCATGCAAATGAAAATAGAGTCGCGGTTAATATTTAGTATTATATGATTTTTTTTTTTATTTTGTAGTTTTTAACGGAACATACATTCTAAAAACATTACATAAAGTTCTGCCATCATCATCATCATCATCGTCGGCGTCGGCGTCGGGGGGTCTACACACGGTCAAGCCCCGACGCGGCGGCATCATTCACCAAACGGACTACTCAGTTTATTTAATTATAGTAAAATGTACAAATAAAATAAATATTCATTATATGTATAGCTTGTATGTATGTATAGTGCCTTAAATATTAATCGTTTACTCAATATGCTCTTCTTCTTTTCACTTCCTCTTCCTCTTCATCTCCTGCTTTTACTCTTCTCTTCACTATCTTTAGGGAGTTTGTTTTTTATGTGTTTTGCTGGTTTTTTTGTTGCTGTTGTTGTTTTTCGTTTTTATCTCATTTAACAGTTAGGTTTTAAGCATAGTATATGTTTGTTTTGTGTATTACTCAGCTATTAGCTTATATATAACATATACATTTATAACATATGGTAAATTGTGTTGTGTTGTTTTTTTTTCTTTTTTTTTTTGTATATTTTTCAACATTAATTTTGTTGTAAATTTTGGAGCTTAATTTTTTCTGATTTTCTTGAATTTTCTCTAGTTTTGCATATATAAAATTGTTCTTGTTGTATTTTGCTGCATATAAATTAATGTATTTAAGATTTTGTTTGGCTTTGTTTTATTTATATTTTAATTAGTTTTTTGTGTTTGTTATTTGGAATTTTTTCTTGCATTTCTTTTTGTTTATAATAATTTGCTGCTTGCTTGATTTTCTAGGCATATGTCGAGGAATTGTGCGCACAATTCAGTATTTTTTTTTTTTGTACAAAACAAAAAAAAAACTAACAATTTTCATATAAAATACATTAATAAGAAATTAATTTTCGTATCTGTTTTTTTTTTCTTTCTTTTAGTATTTATTATAAAATTATATTATCAGTTTGTTGTTGTTTTTTTGCTTATTTTCCTGTAGTAAAGTAAACTTTTTATGGCCAACTGACTTTAGATTTCACATATGTACACAACACACACTCTCACACACACACACACACACGCACACATAAGCACATTAAGATACATCTTTAGCTGGACTTAAATACCAAAATGTGTTTTATTTAATCATTTTTCTTTTCTTCTTCTTTTAGTATTTTTTTTTTGATACATAATATTAGACATTAAATTCGTACCGCGTTTGCGCTGCTTCTTCTTGCTGCTGCTGCTACTATATAGATCGTATATAGACATAAAATGTGCATAATTTTGAATACTCTTTCTTTATAGTTTTTTTTGCATTAGCTACAACATCAAAATGGACTGTTATCTTAAAAATGTTTGCCTAGTTGCGGTGTCTTGTGTAAAGATATATATATGTATATATGTATGTATGTATATAGGTATGTATGTATGTATGTATGCATATATATGCATGTTTTCATTAGGTTCTCGCGCGTATATATATTTATCTAAAAGTTGCCTTTCGCTTGTTTCCGGCTAGGTTTACTTTACAGACTGTATTCATTGGTGTTCTCGAAATATCATTGGAATTATTTGCTTGCATTGAGAAAAATTTAACTTTGAAACATAAAAAAAAAAAAACAACCTCGCCAAAAATTAATAATGCAAAATATATTTAAATAAAAATTAAAAAAAAAAAAAAACATTGTTTAAAAACACATTTCAATTGAATGCGTTGTCGCTCGTTTTTGTTTTTTAGTTTTTAGTTTGTTTTTAGTTTTGTTTGAATTAGTTTTTGTTTAAATTAAGCGAACATTATTTTTTAAATAACATTTCTAATAATTAATAATTATCTGTTTGCAGTCTTTGGTTATTTATTTTTTCTTTTCTTTTTTCCTTTTCCTTTTTTTTTTTTAAATCATATATTAAACATTTTTTGTTTGTATATCTTTTAAATCATACAATTAATATTTGTATATATATACATACATATATATATCGGTATATATATATATATATATATATATATATAGGCGTATATCTTTAAGTCATACATTTAATATTTGTATATATAGGCGTATGTATATATATAAATTTCGATGCTCCCCGCTCCCCGCTCTCCGTCCCGCCCTTGTTTAAGCTTACGTCGTGTGTCGCGTTTTTTACGCGCGGCAAAAAACGCGCACAAAACGCGGCCATGCTTAGTAGTCCGGACTGGAGTCGAGCAGCCGCTTCTCCGGCGTCAGATCGCCCTTGCGCAATATCCGGCTAGCCGCGCTGCAGCCATGCTCGAATCCCTTGCCATTCGCCTGAAGTCCACCATTTTGCGATCCATTCAGGATGCCGACGCCGTTGCCGTTGGGGTTGCTGCTGCCGCCGCCGAGCGGCACAATGGGCATCATGCTGCTGGTGGAGCCGATGCCGCCGGCGCCGGAGCCGCAGCTGTTGCCACTGTTGCCCTGGCAGCGGCAGCCGCGACCCGCGAACCGTGCGTAGCACTTCTCGCAGAGCTTGATGCAGCCGCGCATGGGCCAGTAGCACCAAAGGCAGGGCAGCACAATGGAGAGGGCGCCCAGCCAGCCCCAGCGCTGGGTGCGCTTGTAGGGGCCGCAGGAGCAGGGATTATCGACGCAGGGTGTCCCAGTGCCATCGTCGCAGTCCATGTCATTGTCCCGGGCGCAATGGTAGAACAGAGCCTTGGCGCAGCACAGGCACGAGGCGTAGTCGATGATGGACTCGGCGCTGCACAGGCACGTCTTGTTGCATACCCAGGTCTGGGGCAGCGGGCGCGGGCTCTGGCACTGCTCGCAGCGGCACATGCCACACCTTGGACAGACAATCGGATTCAGCAGCGACGGATCTCCGCCCATCACAATGGGCGCGCCCAGCTGGCCGCCGCCGCCCGGCTGCTGATGATGATGCTGCTGCTGCTGCTGCTGCTGGAGCAGCTCCTCCAGCGCGTGCATGTGTTCCTTGCCAGAGGCGGGCTGCTTGGTGATCGGCTGCGTCAAAGGCTGCGCTGCGGCTGCCGCCGCGAAGCCCAGACCCAGGACGCCGCGTGGCGCCGGCGGCGGCGGTCCAAACTTGGAGGCGGGTGTTGCTTTGGTGTGGCCATTTAACTGCTGCTGCTGCTGCTGGGGATGATGATGCTGCTGCTGTGGATGATGCTGCGCGGGAGTGTGGTGCATATGCGAATGTAATAAGCCGTCGGTGCCATCGATGCCCGTCGCTGTCGCTGTCGCTGCTGCTGCTGACGCCGACGCTGACGTTGAGGTGGCCACCGTCGCCAGTCGATTGATGTGATGATGGGCATGTTGTGCGTGGATCGCTCCGCCGGGCGCCTGATGATGCAGCTGTTGATGCTGCCGCTGGGGCAGCAGCAGCAGATGATGCGTCGTTGTCTGGCCATTGTCCTGCTGCCCGGCCGGATGCTGGCTGCGCGTCGCATGCTGCAGCGGCGTGTCCACATACTCATTGGTGAGCCTCTCGGATTCGGGTCGCGGTTGCGCCAGCGTGACGGGGGAGGCGGGCGGCTGACCCGTTGACAACAGTCCCGACACAGGCTCAGCGCTTTGGAAATGACTAAGGAAGTTGTTGTTGCTGTTGCTGCTGCTGTTGCTGCTGCTACCGACGGGCGTCAGCAGCGGCGGGGGCGGACGGCGACGCGTAAAGCTGGAGGTGGAACCAGCGCTGCTGTTCGCCGTGGCCGTCGAGGAGGAGGCGTTGCTGCTGTTCCGGCTGAGGCTGCTCGGGCGCTGCGGCAGAAACGTCAGATGATGTATCTGATAGTCGTCGAAGTCCGCCGTTGTCGGTATTATAGATATCGTGTTGTTGTTGTTGTTGTTGTTGTTGCTGGTTGTTGTTGCTGTTGTTGCAAGTGTTGCAGTGTTTGTGCTAATACTCGGATTGTTGTTGCTGCTGCTGCTGCTGCTGCTGTTGTCGCCACCTAACGCTGTTGGCTCCGGCGCCCTTGGTCGATGCACGCGCGGTAGCAGCTTTGGGGGCCGGGGTGGCGCCAAGGGATCGCCGCCATTTCTGCGATCCATGAAGTGCTTCAAAAGCCAATTCCAAACACCAGCCTTGCAGACTGCACTGCACTCGGGCTACGTCTACGTCTACGGCTACGTCTGCGGCTACGGCTGCTGCTGCACGGCTTCCAATGATTTCTCCCCTCAATAGTTCCCTCGGTAGTTGCTGTGCCCGAAATCGTTGCGATTTGCCTTCATCCTAGCGCACGTGCTGCTCCGACAATTTGCCAAGCACAGCGGCGATTGCTTTCTGCAAAAAACAAAACAAAACAAAACAAATATTAATAAAATTTATTTCAAATTAAATGCATCTAACTGCAGCTGCCTTCGAATGGCACGTTCATGTTCTCGCTTTGATTCTTTGAAAGTTTCCAAATTGAAGGCCACGCCCCCCTGCATTATGGCACGATTTGGTTTTGGTTTGTTTTTGTTTTTGTTATTTACACTGCTTATTTAGTTGAAATATAAAATTTCGCTTGTTTATAATTAATTTATGGCTGTGCCATAAAAAACAGCTAAAAGCAACAACAACAACTTGGCTTTGGTCAGCTCAACGTCCAAGAAAAAGGTCAAAATCTTTGGCGTGACTTTTGTGTAAACACAATGCAAAGCTTTTTATGCCCTGTTGCCAGGGCATACAAACAATTGGGTATGCTAATACTAGCCAAAGGTATATGAAACTTACGAATAGTTTAAGAACACACAAAACTAGGAAGCAAAAAGTCGCCAGTTCAAACCCAGCGGCAATTCAAATAAAATACATAGGTAAATGCATTTTTATGCTAAATTCAATTACAGTAATAAAATGTTATATAAAATTTAAGGCCAAGAAATGAGAAGTTGCCGGTTCAAATCCAGCAGCAATAAAAAAAATATCGAGGTATATACAATTTGCATCTTAATGTCAATAACATTTGGTAAATTTTGTTTTAATATGCAGATCCGAGAAACGAGAAGTCGTCGGCTCAAACCCAGCAGCGATTTAAATAGAATACGTGGGTAAATGCATATTTTATCAGAAACGAGAGGTCGCCGGTTCAAACCCAGCAGAAGCACACCGAATCTAAGCAAGCAATTAGTTAACTTTTTTTATAATATGCCCTTTAAATATTTGTTATTGCAGGGTAGCTCGTAATGTAGCACTCTTTGCAGCTGGCCCCCTTTTGAGCTGTTTATTTAGAGTTTGTTTTAATTTATATTTTGTTCTTCTTCTTCGTTCAAATGTCTCGAACTGGCACTAAACATTAAAATTCACTTGAATTCGCCGCGTGGACACATGATATTTTCAAGATTAAAGCTTCTGGCACCCTAAATGTGATTTTTGCTAATTTGACTGGGTTGGTTTTTGTTTTTGTTTCTTGTTGTTGTTGTTGTTGTTTGTTTTATTAAAGGGCATCATGTTTAATGGAAATTCCGCAGAACTGCGCTAGGCCTTTGTTTAGCTATGTCTTTGCTGGGATTACGAATTTGGACTTCACACTTATTCCATAGACAAGATTTTGCAGTCCAAGAGTAGCTTGGCTCCACTTATAATTTGTTATTTCGTTTTTCTCTTGTTGTTGTTGTATTTCAATCACCTTTGAACATTTGAACCGCATAACCTTGATTATCTTTTAATAGTCACTCCCGCGGTTCGTAAAAATTTCAAATAAAAGTCATTATCGCTTTACCCATTTTAATTGCTTTCTATTATTAATAAAAAAATGTTTCTTTTTTGTTTCTTGGTACGGAAATAAGAAAAGCCAGCGCAATTAAAATTGTCTAGAAATGGAAATTTTGATTTGTTCGTTGCTGCGAGCGTTCACTGTACTTTGACTATATCCAATTAATGCGAATTTGGCGGCGATTAAAGACCTAATATACACATGGCCATTATTAAATGCGTGGCACGAGTCGCAAATAGGTAAATACAGGAAATTAATAAAGCCCAAGATGCTCCATATAACATATATATATATATGTGTGTATGTATATGTGCGATAGCTAATGGCCAATAAAAAGCGTCAAGCATTAGTATTATTATGAGTATTTTGCAGCCTACAAAGCTGCCCGCCTGAAATGCGAACAGCAACAACAAGAACGCGGGCAAAATGGATCTTTATAGATTCACCTTTACATAAGTATACACACACACACACACACACACACGAACGCAGAGTATATGCATGTGTGTGCTGGTATAAAAATTAACACAAACGCCCACTTATTGACGTCATGTCCGGTACTCAAAAACAATTTTCGAGAATGACCACAATTGAGAAAAACAAAATCGAAATAAACAGCCAACAGATGAGGAATGGGCTTTCGGCCAGGCTAAGAGCCAGCCGTGGAGGGGGTAGCGCGGCATCGCTGCTGCTGATTGCCAATAAGAAAAACTATAGGAAAATCAAAAAACGAAAAAGAAAATAACAAAAAGCGAATTGCTCGACGTGTGTGTTTGCCAATCGTTTTGGCTTGGCAAACGTGATTTGAAAATTTCCTTTTGATTTTCATTTCGTTTTTAATACAAAATTTCGATTTTATGTTATTGTCAGGGGGATTATCAAATGCTGTTGTTGTTGTTGCTGTTGTGCAAATGATTGGCTAATTTATTAACATTAAACATTAAATGGCGAATAAATATGAAATTAATTAATAAATACACGATTAAGGTGCCAGCGTTTACTTCTGCTCGTCTCCTAAGTTTCTTTTTATTTGTATTTGGCCTAAATTTGAATACATAATTATTTGTTTATTTATTTATTTATTTATTGTTTATATCTATTGCTTTGGCCACGCCCAAAAGCAACAGCATAAAAAAAGCCACTCAGCGCCAAGATTTTCGATTTCATTCTTAAATTAATTGGCACAGCGCATTAACACAAACAGAAATGATTTTATAAAAAAAAAAAGTGCACGTAATTTATAAAGATTTTTCTGATTTTTAATTGCTTTCGAATATTGTTGAATTGTTGCTGTTCATTTTGATTGTTGTTGTTGAATTTGAAAGCAGCACGCAGCGCTGGCAAGCTTTGACCTTGGCCAGCGATGAAAAAGTGCTGCCAATTTTTCGTAAAGTACATGGCGCAAGTATTTTTAACATTGCTGTCACTGTTAAGGCTGCTACTGCTGCTGTTATAGTTGCTGTTGTTGCTACTGTTATTGTTGTTGCTGCTGTTATTCCTTCTGCTGTTATTGCTGCTGGCTGCTGTTATTGCCTAGGTTCTTGTAGTTGCTGTTATTGTAGTTCTTGCTGTTGCTACTGTTGTTGGTACTGTTGTTGGTACTGTTGTTGCTGCTGTTATTGTTGTAGCTGCTGTTGCTGTTGCTGTTATTGCTGCTATTTTAGCCACTGTTATTGCTGCTGCTGCTCATTGAGTGTCGCACAAAACGAAATTTGCCATTTGAATTTGAAACGTTTTCATTAATAAGTGAACTTGACGTTGCTGGCGCCACAGAACAAGTCACAAGTTGTCGTCGCCTTCGCCGTTCGCTGCTGGCGTCGCTGTCGCAGTCGTTGTCAGCGTCGGCGTCAGCGTCAGCGTTGTCGTCTTTCATTCAAACGATTCGACGGGTTTCTTTTTTCTGTGGCCATTGTATCTTTTTTGTTTGTTGTTTGCCAGTTGCAATTTAAATAGAATTATTTAAGGCAGACAACCTGCAGCAACAACAGCAGCAACAACAACAACAACAACAACAATTCGCTGCGTTTTTATTTAAAAATAAACTCAGGCAAATCAAATGCAAACAGGTTTTATTATTATTATTCGTTATTTATTTATAATTCTGCTGTTTTTTTTTTATTCTCAACTTGTTGTTGTAATTTTTGCCGTTCTGGTCTTTAAGCCGGGGCCACTTTTGAGGGCCGAGCCTCGTGGGCGGCGTTGACATTGGAGTTGCAGCTGGCCAAGGGAGGGGCAGGGGCAGGGGCAGGCGGGGGCGAGTGGGGTATGGGGTGTGGGTTCGCGCCCCACTGTCATTTATATGCATTTAATTGAACGCTTAAGAAATGTCAGCATGACCCAATTATCATAAAAATATAAATAAAAATAAAACAAAGCAACAACAACAAGAAAACCTCGATAAAAGCCAATTTTATGAACTAGTCATAAACGTTAATACAAAACGCATTTAAGCCACGTAATTAATGGACATATTTAGCCAAATTAAATGTGGCAATAAAATGTGCAGGAAAGCCTGCGTAAATAAACAGCTTAAGATCTTAAATAGCTATTCACATGTTGTCTGAATTCTCTTTTGATTACATTTACTTAAAAGCTGGCGATGATAATGCCAGTACAGTGAGCGCTCGCTAGCAAGAACTTTCGCAAAGGAAGTGTACTCAAGAGCTGGCATATGAGCTATATATGATATATATGATATGATATATAGATAGATAGGGAGACTTGAAAGTCGATTTGAGTTCGTTGCGTTTAGCGAGCGTTCACTGTATTGGGGCATCACGTGGTGCGGGGCGTTTAAATATTTCTGCTATTTTATTAATTTGGCAAAAATCGCTGAACTGCGGAAATTTACAATAATTTCTGAAACAGTCAGCAATGGCTCCGTCTATATAAATCGGCATACATATATATATATATATATATATATGTATATGTATTTATACATAGTAACAATGTATATCAACTATATTATTATAAATAAAAGTCAGAGCTAGCATATTTAAGATTATTGGCTCGTGCACTCTTATCATTATTTTTATTAAAATATTATTATTCATTTATGCTTATATCATATTGGGGTGCTTCCAGGGCCCGAGAGCGGAAGAGTGCGGCACTTTTTGCTGCTGCTGTGGAAATAAGTTTCGTTTTGAATGCATTTTGGCGCGACGCCTGCTAAAAATATGTGCGGATCTGCCTTAAGGGCGAGCATGCGATACAGCTACAGCTACAGATACAGATACACAAGCCAATGCAGTTGCTGTTGCAGATACAGATACAGCTGCTGGCGGCGACGGCGACAAATGAAAAACCTACACAGGAAACACTAATGACTGCAGGCAAAGAACTGCGCAGTCCCGTGGCAGTAAATCGGTAACGGAAAAGACTTGGCAAAATGAAGGGTAAATACAAGAGTGCTCCAGACGGTAATGAACGACTAGCAGATACCCTGACCACGGCTGCAAGCTGATCCGTTCAGCTTCCTTTTAAATACGTCCCTTTACCTCTGACATCTTATGTGCTATACTTATGCAACTTTCAGGGATTGTTAATGCCATTCAAATGTGTATACATATCAAAGCTCAAGGCG